CCGTCATCAACTGAAAATATTTGGTGCTTAAAAAAAAAGCTGTTATTTAATTTTTTTTGAATATCTGTAACGCTAACAGAAAAGATTCCTCTCAAATACTTTGCAGTGTATAGAAGTTATTGGAAGTTATGTTTTGATGATTATATGATCATTGTCTAGCATGGAATCTGGTTTATTGAAGATGAAATTATTTTTATGAAGTTAAAGCTCTAGCATTCATTCTGGTCAAGTATTCTGGTTGCACAACATAGAAAACAACTCCAAGAGGCTGAAGTAAAATGGGAAGTAGTTGTATGGTCTCTGAAATCTCATGGAATCCAAGAACAAGAAGCAAGAGGTTCATCTCAGCTTCCTAGCAACAACATTTGGAATTTGGAGTGCTAGGAGAAACCAAGGCAGCTTCTTTCCCATATGTTTTTTTTTTTTTTTTTTTTTTGGTGGGGAAGATTACATGATTCCTTACATTTATTACTCTCTATTTGCTTAATCCTCTTTCCTTTCTCCACAAAGTTATCAGCTTCTTAGAGACAATACTGAGTCACTGCATCCATCTTGCCCAAAGCCAGCTCTGCCTCAGGTTAAAATAAATTTCATTTATGTTGAATCAGTCCATTTTCTGTTCTATTTTAGGCAGTTTGAATTGGCTCGAATTGCAAAAGAAATCACCCTAAAAAACTATTTGCCTCTTTATCCTATTTAAGGTTCCATCAGTTTTGAGATTCCAACTCCCTTCTCTTTCTCTAGATTTTTAAAAAATTTTTTATTTTATTTATTTTTTTGAGACAGAGTCTTGCTCTGTTGCCCAGGCTGGAGTGCAGTGGTGCAATCTCAGGTCACCGCAAACTTTGTCTCCCAGGTTCAAGTGATCCTCCTGCCTCAGCCTCTCGAGTAGCTGGGATTACAGGAGTACACCACATCGCCCAGCTAATTTTTGTATTTTTAGTAGAGACAGGGTTTCACCATGTTGGCCAGGCTGGTCTGAGCACCTGTTAAACCCAACACTGTCTTATGTATTTTCCATATATTCACACATTTAATCTGTGAGGGTATGCATGAGGTGTGTGAAACTACTTTCCCCTTTTTCCATATAAGGAAACTGAAATCTAGAGAAGTTATGTAAATATACTTATGAAATGGCAGAAGCAGTGCCAGAACCCAGGTTTCTCTTACTCTAAAGCCTAAATTCTTAATACCTTCACTCGAATGTCTCCCAGAAACTATCAGGCAGTGGTCTTTTTACCAAGGAAGAGTTTGTGCTTGGTGTTATCAACTAGGAAGAATGGGGAAAAAACGATTATTTCCAGGGAGCAGTGAGACCCAGACCATCTCTAAAATATGTGTGTGTGTGTGTGCGCATGCGTGTATATGTTTCAGGCGTGGCGTCTCCATGGTTTCTTTGAGTAAATATGAAAAGTGATTTACCTTACCTAATTAGATTAATGGAATATTAGCTTAAGAGTTATTAATGTTGGTGGCAAATATCTCCTTTATACCCAGTGGCTCTAGCTCACCTGTTATACCTGAGAACAAGTAAGCATTGCTCACCATAACTGTTTCAAGGTTTGCTTTTCCTCATGCTTCTGGACAAAGCACACAAGATAATTCACCTGGATGTGGTGGGAAAGGTCACTGCTTTGTAAGGGCTGACTTGGAAGACTGTGGTAGGTGATATTAAACTTTGTGTGTACACACAAGCTCTCAAAAGTCACATTGTAGTGGTAACACAAACATACCCTGCAGGGTGGCACACCAGCGAAGAGCCAGCTGGGAGCCCAATCTTTCTTGGCATCCTCAAGGTGGAGTTGATCCTAGTACCAACTACTGTCTTTTTGGTGTTGGCCATTGGCATCCTCAAGGTGGAGTTGATCCTAGTACCAACTACTGTCTTTTTGGTATTGGCCAGAGGCCCTTGCAGAGATAGAAAACACCTGGCTTAATTTTCCAAACTGGGGCAGGATGGGTTAGCACGTTAGAAAGAGAGAAAGGCGATGGCAGGACTCATCGCTTGTTTTTGTGAGTACAGCAAGACTGATCCAGCAGTCAATGATGAACATGGCAGGTGGTGAATAAGCCAGCTCCTTACAGCACTCCCGGAGTTGATGCTTTTCTTTTGGCTTCCATTAGCCTTCAATAACTATGGGATTCCCAAGGGCTTTAGCACAGGTACAAAGAGGTGGAGGAATTAAGCAATAGCTTAGAGGAAGCAACAGAGTTTTCCCTATTGACTCTCCCTTTCCCCCTTGTCAGCAATACAGTGAATTGACAGATGTTTGTAGCTTACTGCAGCATTTGGTTCCAGCTGTGCACACGGCATGGGTAGTAGTGGGAACATTGTGTTCCCCACCTGTTCATCATGTTCAGACTAGCGAGTGTGTGTTTAAGTACAGGCTGTGTCCGGGGCGGGCGGGGGAGGGGGTGGGGTAGGGGGGCTGACCTGTGTTTGTGTGTGTGTGTGTGTGTGTGTGACCAAATTGCTTCTATTTGTGAGGATTTTGTCACAGCCTAGGAGTCCAGGCTAACAGAGTCATGTTTTCTTTTTCTTAGTCAACTCTTCTTTTCAAAAAGTAAGCAATTAATATTCTCTCCCAGCCAGCTCCCTCGCTTCTGTTAGATGAAGTAGCCATCAAAGATATGGAAGTCAAGACAAATTTTGGTATTGCCTGACACTTTAATTTCAGATATAACTCGAGGACAGATGATTTATCTTAAGAAGCTTTCTTTTATTGGTAAATTACCTAGCTGATAGTTACAAATTTATCTTCTTCTACTTACATATTCCTTTTAGGAAAAAAGAGAATGAGAGAATCCTATACTTATATCCTTGAATTAGTTAAGCTACCTCAACTATTAAGAAATCCTGACTTTGGAATAAAATGCTAGCCATCATAGTCACCAACTTCACCAACTTTGGGCCCCTCTTGCCTCTTTGATAGTGTCAGTGTAAGTAGAATTCATTCATTCATTCATTCATTCATTCACTCTTTCATTCATTCATCACACAAACATGTATCAAGTATCCATGCTCGTGTGTCTTATATTTTGGTATTTATTGAATTACTCATGCACTTGTTAAAAATGCAAATACCCAGGCCCTGACTTCATCCTACTGAATCAGAATCTCCAAGGAGTAGGTACTAGAAATATGATTTTTAAAAAGTCTGTTTTAGAGGTACTCTAGGAAGACAGAGATGAAAAGGACAGTCCTTTCTCCCTGCTAGATCATCATACAAATGAATAGATAAGCTAGAGCAAGAAAAGTCCATCTAAGCCATGATAAAATACGTATGGCACCCATGACAGAGAGAGGTTGCTTCTACTAGGAGGAGGAGGGGTTGCCTAACCAGTTGGTGTAGTGCTTGCTCTCCATCAGCTTGGCTGCTGGGGAATGGCCAGTCTCCTAGAGTGTATGTGATGTTGCCTCCAAGAGTGGGCATTAGATACAGAAAGAAGGAATACATCTTGCCCTGTACTGTCCTAATCTAGCAGCCATCAGTGGACTGAAAGGAAAGGGCTAGAAGGAGGATTTGCCAACTTGTCAATGCTCTCATTTCTGATGAACATTTGCAGGTTTCTCTTTGGCAGTACGATCAAGGCTGGAGATTCACAGTAAGGAACTTAAAAAGCTCACTGGGCTTACCACCAGGAAAAATGGAGTTTGGCTCTGTCCTTGCCACTTATTAGCTGGGCAGTTTACTTAATCTGTTGCCTAGTTTCCCCCATCTACAAAGGCAGATAATAATATCTATATTACAGGATTGTTTTGGGAATTATATGATATATAGTACATAAACTGTTTGACATTGTACCTGGCATGTGGTCAGTGCTAATAAGTAGTAGTTATTTTTAGTAATAATATCAATAATAATGGACCCCCCTTTGGGTCCCCAGAAATGACTCCTCAGGCCATCAAACCCAAACTCCATATTTACAATGGCTCTCAACTATTTGCTCTGTCCCAGCTCCCTAGAGGGCTCTGACATTGTTGTAGCAGTCTCACTGGCTCAGGGCAGTGATTCTCACTCTGGGGTCTATTCTTTCTAGGTTTGTTTTTATTTCCCCTGTTGATTCTGAAATTAGATAGGAAGGAGAGCAGTGTGTTGGAAGCAGGGGTGAAGATGGTAAGTGATGGTCTCCCAAGACTCAGTCCCCAAGATCTGCAAACAGCAACACAGCAAACCCCAGATTGCCATGGGCTCTGATTTTTGTCTCTTAGCATGAGGGCAGCCATGTTTCCATCTGAGCCTAATGGCGATGTCCACAGCCCCTGCCAAGAGCCTCAGAGCAGAGACTTTAGTAGAAGATGGAAAATGAGTGACTCAACATAGTGAAGACATTCTCCAACTCCTCAGCTTCCTTTAGATTGTCCCGAAAGGGAGATTAGAAGGGGTTCTCAGAACTAAGACTGGAAAGGGAGTTTATACCATTAGGGCAAAGATTGGGAGAGAAAGGTACTGAAGTCAAATGAGACTTCTGTGAAACACTTTGGAAAGTACAGATTTTGAGACTAACTACATGAACAGCAGCAGCATCAATAACTGTATCACTGGTGCAGGCTGCAGACATCAGCTGGGAATGAAGGTGATTCTCAGGGCCCTTAATTTGGCCCTCAGCCCCCAGCCAGACCTAAGCCTGCAGCTGGCTGCACAGAGAGGCAGCCTGTTCCATCCTTGGAATTCCAGCTTAGGTGACTACATAAGGCATTTTGGTTTAGTGGTTCCTTAAATAAGACGACATTCCTTTAAGTTTAATCTCTCTCCTGCTGAAATTTCCTACCCTCCTCGGCTTTACCCGTTAAACTGCCGCTCATCTGAAAAGTGCAACTAGCAGGGTGAAAGTAGTGCTCTAGTGACCGTTAAAATCTATCCTGGGACAGCTAGCACGCACGGAAAAACTTGCCATTCGCTGCATCACCCCCCCCCCCCCCCAACCCCACTCATGTTTACACACACCCCCCCCCCCCCCCCCCCCCCCGCTATTCTTATCAGAGAGAACATGGAAAATATTCTCCCTTCCTTGGCTACTTCCTCCTCCCCTTACTGAAGGATGGTGTGTGTACATCTGAATGGGGGTGGGATGCGGGGGGTGGAGTTTAGCTTTGGGTCCTCAACAAAAACATAATGGTTCCCAGTAGGCCAGAGCGGGGCAACCAAGGAGGCAGGATCCTGGCCTCTCTCGGATCTGCAGGAAGAGTGGGCTGTGCGGGTACAGGGTGGGATGCCCGTTCTGGCCGGCGGTGCCTGCTGAGCCCTTCCTGATGTGACTTTATTAGACAAACACCTACTCCCGCCAGGGGTAGACACACGAGTATTCTGCTTTAGGAAGATTTCTGCAACACGACAGGGTGCAATTCAAAATCTGGGTTCTCCTTTCCTGAGCTCAGAAACCAATTTGTTCTGAGATAGGAGAAGGCTCTGTAAGCAGAAGACCTAAGAGATGGAAGGAGGCGCCTGGCGTCAGCGGGTCGCTTCTCAGCCGTGAACACGAGCGGCCAGCAGGTGTCAGTGCGTCCTCGCTTTGCCCTGGCGTTCGGCTCCTGGACCCCTCCCCACCTCTGTCTAAGGGGGCGCGGTCCAGACCCCCGGTCGCGCGTGTCCCGCAGACAGCTTCGTGGCTGGGAGGACACGTAGCCGCTTCTTCCCTAAGCCGAGGTCCGAACTCTGGCCTGTGCCACTTCCCCAAAGGTGCTGTCCATTCCGCCCAGGGGTTCCATCCGAACCCGCGCCTTTCTCCCTCTCCAGCACCCCTTTCTCCCCAGCCGCGAGGAGCACCTGCGGACCGGGTCGGCTCTGGCCCGGAGCCGGGCTGCTCCAGATGTAACCCACACCGGAGGTTACTTCCCTCGATTTGGGCAGGGATTCCCCTCCACTTTTTCTTCCCTTTTCTCCCAAGATCCAGCTCCTTGGGGGCACTCACGGGTGCCCGTCGCGTTCTGCTCGGTTGGCCGGGAGCTGCATGGCCAACTCCCAGCAGGGGCCGCTCCCCCGCGCCCCCGCCCCCCCAACCACCGGGCTCCCTCTTTAAGCCTCTCGCTCAAGGTACGCGCCTCTCCAAAGGGCTGGTCCCGCCTGAGGGCAACTCTCCCCGAGGTCCAGCGCTGGGCGCCGGCGCTAGACTGGCGGAGGGGTGGTGCGAGGGGCGGGGGAGGGTCGGCTTCCCACGTGGGGGCTGACGCTGGCTGCTCAGCAACGCCGGCTTGATCCTGGGGCTATAAAACGAGTCCACCGTGAGCGCAGCGGAGCAGCAGCAGCTCCGGCTCCGTGCAGACGCCCAGCAGCCGGCGTGCCGCCGCCCGGCAGCTCCAGCGCCTTCTTCCCCCAGCCTTGCGCTCCAAGCCCAACTCGCGCTGTCGTCGGACCCCGGCCCATCCAGTCGCGCTCGGCGCCCACCTGGCGGACGCCCAGGAGACACCCTGCCTCCGTCGCGGCTCCTGGAGAGCTGATCGTTCACCTGCCCCGGCCCGCCTGAGGACGGGGGTGCCTTCATGCGGTGCCCACACTCCTCACCCCGCCGCCGCCGCCGCCCCCGAGCTCCGCACAGTGCGCCCCAGCCCCAGCAGGGCGCACAACTTTGGAAGTCTCGCGGCGCTCCGAGAGGCGGCAGGGTCCGCGCCCCAGCCCCGGGCCGGGCCCGGCCAGAACCGCAGCGTCTGGGGGAAGCCAGAGAGTCGGTAATCGCTTCGGGGATATAAGGAGACAGACATAGGACCCCAGGCTCGCATCAGCACCCCTCGGCTGCCTCCCGGGGTGGGGGCGGGCCCCGCACACGGTAAGACCTCTTGCTTTCGCTCAGGCTCAAGAGTCAAGATATAGATATCGATATGTATATATATATTTAATTTCCTGTCATCCTTCCAAGTTATCAGGCCACCGATGATTTTTGTTCTCCCTTCTTGAAGAATAAATCTCTTTACCCATCGGCTCTCCCTACTGTCTCCCGCCGCTTAGAAATAAAACTTGGCTGTGTTAGGAGCTCGGAGCGAGAAGGCGCCCACCGAGAGCGTCCGAAGCGCGAGCCAGGCGCAGTTCGCGGGACCCGGGCCATGGGCCGCTAGCGGTCCCCCAGCTCGGGCCCGGCCTCCCTTCGGCCCCCTCCCTATGTGAGCCGCAGCCAGGCGAGCGGGGCGCCGGAGGAAGAGGAGGACCCACGGGCGCCGGGCCGGAAGGCAGCTGGCAGCAGGCCCAGGCGAGCGGGCGCCCGCGTTCATGTTCCGCCAGGAGCAGCCGCTGGCCGAGGGCAGCTTTGCGCCCATGGGCTCCCTGCAGCCGGACGCGGGCAATGTGAGCTGGAACGGGACCGAGGCGCCGGGGGGCGGCGCCCGGGCCACCCCTTACTCCCTGCAGGTGACGCTGACGCTGGTGTGCCTGGCCGGCCTGCTCATGCTGCTCACCGTGTTCGGCAACGTGCTTGTCATCATCGCGGTGTTCACGAGCCGCGCGCTCAAGGCGCCCCAAAACCTCTTCCTGGTGTCTCTGGCCTCGGCCGACATCCTGGTGGCCACGCTTGTCATCCCTTTCTCGCTGGCCAACGAGGTCATGGGCTACTGGTACTTCGGCAAGGCTTGGTGCGAGATCTACCTGGCGCTCGACGTGCTCTTCTGCACGTCGTCCATCGTGCACCTGTGCGCCATCAGCCTGGACCGCTACTGGTCCATCACACAGGCCATCGAGTACAATCTGAAGCGCACACCGCGCCGCATCAAGGCCATCATCATCACCGTGTGGGTCATCTCGGCCGTCATCTCCTTCCCGCCGCTCATCTCCTTCGAGAAGAAGCGCGGCCACAGCGGCCCGCAGCCGGCCGAGCCGCGCTGCGAGATCAACGACCAGAAGTGGTACGTCATCTCGTCGTGCATCGGCTCCTTCTTCGCTCCCTGCCTCATCATGATCCTGGTCTACGTGCGCATCTACCAGATCGCCAAGCGTCGCACCCGCGTGCCACCTAGCCGCCGGGGTCCGGACGCCGCCGCCGTGCCGCATGGGGGCGCCGAGCGCAGGCCCAACGGTCTGGGCCCAGAGCGCGGCGCGGGCCCGGGGGGCGCGGAGGCCGAGCCGCTGCCCACCCAGCTCAACGGCGCCCCTGGCGAGCCCGCGCCGGCCGGGCAGCGCGACGCCGACGCGCTGGACCTGGAGGAGAGCTCGTCGTCCGACCACGCCGAGCGGCCTCCCGGGCCCCGCAGACCCGAGCGCGGCCTCCGGGGCAAGGGCAAGGCCCGGGCGAGCCAAGTGAAGCCGGGGGACAGCCTGCCACGGCGCGGGCTGGGGGAGACGGGGATCGGGACGGCTGCGGCAGGGCAGGGAGTGGAGCGCGCTGGGGCCGCCAAGGCGTCGCGCTGGCGCGGGCGGCAGAACCGCGAGAAGCGCTTCACGTTCGTTCTGGCCGTGGTCATCGGAGTGTTCGTGGTGTGCTGGTTCCCCTTCTTCTTCACCTACACGCTCACAGCCGTCGGGTGCTCAGTGCCGCGCACGCTCTTCAAGTTCTTCTTCTGGTTCGGCTACTGCAACAGCTCGCTGAACCCGGTCATCTACACCATCTTCAACCACGACTTCCGCCGGGCCTTCAAGAAGATCCTCTGCCGCGGGGACAGGAAGCGGATCGTGTGAGGTTTCCGCCGGCGCCCGCGTAGACTCACGCCGACTGCAGGCAGCAAGGCACCGAGGAGTGCTCAGCCCCAGAGCACTCAGAAACCCGGGCCCTGTCTGCTCTGTGTTTCCTCCTCTGGGGTGGCTCTGCAGCCTCCTGCGGGCGGGCGTCTGCTGCTCCTACAAGGGAAGCGTTCTTGCTGCCAGACCCACGCATCCCCAGTTGTTGGTTTGGCCACTCTTGACCTGGAGCCATCTTCCTGGTGGGCCACCCCAATCAGTATTGCTTCCTGAAGGTATTTTCACCTTCTTCCCCTGGTATAGCCCTCACAGCTCTTCAGAGCAAGCACTGGACTACAAGGGCATGGCTCACAAAAGGTTAATGGATGGTTACCTAGAGGATTACCTAGCCCTGGCTAATTCCCCTTCCATCCCCAGCTCTCTCTCTCTCTTTTTTAAAACCCACTCAGGGCAGCCCTGCCTGCCCTCCCCACCACCCCCTCCACACTGTAAATATACACTATTTTTGATAGTACACATGGGGACCCCATATCTCTTGACCTTGGTTTTGACGGTGAAATCCTGGCCTTGGGAGAGATGCCTTCCAGGCAGACGCAGCTGTCTGGTTCAGGCCAAGCCCCATTTGCAATGCAAGCCCTTTCTGGTGTTATGATGTCCCTCTATGTCGTCCTTTTCACCAGCAACTGGTGACTGTCCCTTTGACACGGACCTGCTTTGAGATTTCCTGACGGGGAAAAGATTTCTGTCCATTTTTTTTTTCCTGTGCCTAACAGCATAATTGTCTTTTCCTATGTAAATATTATGATGATGGATCAAGACATAAGTAAATGAACCTTTCTGCCTCACATCAGCCCTGTGTATAAAGCCATTATTCTCTGATGCACTGTTCGCCCCAGTAACTCACTTTAAAATCTCTCTTTCCAGTGTTCCCTCTCTCCCTGCAGGGCCACTGCTTGAAGAATATGTATGTTTCTATCTCGTATGTATGTGCGCCCCTCCTGCCCCAAAAGTGCTGACTATGGGAAAATCTTTTAGCTGCTGTTTTTAGACACCAAGGAGTGGAAATTATGTGGAAGAAGCAAACCTGATACAATTTGCCCAAGGTAAACAGTTTGAAAAGACAAATGGGCCTGCCAAACTGTACAGTTCCCGCCCCAAGAGCTGTTAGGTATCAAAGTGTGGTCCTTTCCCCCCTCCCTGCTTTTCTGGTTGAGATCATGTCATTGATGAACTGCCAAAGTCAGGGGAGGAGGGCGGAGACCTTGTGTTTACATCTGCGTTTCTACATGTTTTAGACAGAGACAATTTAAGGCCTGCACTCTTATTTCACTAAAGAAAAACTAATGTCAGCACACGTTGCTAATGACAGTGGATTTTTTTTAAATAAAAAAGTTTACAGATCAAATGTGAAATAAATATGAATGAAGTGGTCCTCTTGTCTGTTATCTGAGTTTTCAAAAGCTTTAAGGCTCTGGGAACATCTGATTTTATGGATTTTTTAAAAATAAAAAATGTACATTATAAATTTTTTTTAAACGTTCGATCAATAACAAAGCTATCATTTCCTAAGTGTTTCTGACATGCTAGACACTGTGGTGAACTGGTTGTAGGCATTGCCTCGTTTACTTTTCTCAAGAACCCTATGAGGTAAGTTCTGTTACTATCCCCATTTTTCAGGTGAAGAAACTGAGTCTCAGAGCAAGTGACTTGCTCAAGTTTAACAAGCGGTGGAAATGCATTGTACCTAACTTTATCTCGTTCTAGGGCCTGTACTCTTAACCCCAGAACCTTTCCAGAGTTTTGGTATTAGCCCTTCTCAGAACACTTCCAGTGGAGAGGCGTCTATGCAGTGTGCTATCCACACCAGGTGTGAGATATATCCCAAGTATGTAATATACACAAGGTGTATACATACCCCAGTGTCTATATGACCTAATGTGTCTATATACCTCAAAGTGTGTATCTACTCCAAAGTGTGGTATATGCACCAAGTGTGGAATATATCCAAAATGTATATCTCACCTTAAAGCATGGTAATATATGACATCGTGTGGTTATGCACAAAGTATGGTCTAAACACCTGAACAGAACCATGTATTCGTTGGTGGTTTGTGGTTTGAATTGTCTGGCCAGAAGGCACGCATCCTTCTTGTTGCATTGCTGTAATAGCAAAGTCTGCTCTGCTGTCTAGGAGGGGCTTATGGTCGTCACACTATGGTTATGGCACTTTGAAGCTGGAAGGGGCCTTAGTGATCCAGGAGTCCAACCCCTCATCTGACAAATGAGAGGGCAAATGCAGATTCAAGAGGAAGCGACTTGCTCAGGATCCCATGGCGCTAGGTGACAGGGCTCTGGCTCCAGGCTGCCTGGGTTAGGGAGCAGCTGAGAGATGTGTAGTAGTAGCTCTGTGCTTATAGTCAGACGCAGTGCTGATGAATAGCCACTCATGGAGGAGGGAGGTTTGAGGGGCAAACTCAAGCATCAGGCTGTGGTTTTGGGGGAGGCCAGCTTTTGTGAGCCCAGCCACCTGTAATATGTATGGATCAGCTTTGGACGCTCCCCGGAAGCAGGTCCTCTGCACCCTCTGGGCCGTACATGCAGCATCTCCTCATCTTCCTTTGCTTCTCTGGTGCAGGAGAGGGTGTCTGTGTATGCAGCGGTGGGAGGGTGGAGAGCCCTGAAAAATGATCTGGGCACTGAGGGGTCTGGGAGAGGGAAGACCATGGCTCTGAGGGGGTGAGGAATTCCTGCTGTCACCTGGATCCTCTGAGCCGGCAGACGGGAGGGTGGCCAGGTGCTGGGCTCCAGTGACCCTGGCTCAGAGGCTTCAAAAACCAACCTCCTGGCCTGTGGCGCCAAGGCTGGCTCCCTGGTCTGGTTCTGTGGCCTGCTCCCCATCCCACCCTCACCCCAGTCTCTCCTTTCCCTCCTCACTCCAGCGCGCCCATCGCCCCAAAGGCAAACAGTGCCAGACAATAGCCTGCCTGGCAGGCCCCCAGGCCCCAGGCTGTGTGTCCCAGCCACAGGAGCAGATACAAACACTGCTTGCTGTTGACTCTCAGCTCTGTCCTGTCTGCCAGGGAAGTGTTTGCCTTGCCTCCACCCCCAGAGAGGGAAGAAGCATGGACTGTGGTGCTACAAGGAGGGGCCTCTGGTGTCATGCTC